TATGTACAAAAAGTTTTGTTTCCATTTTTTACCTCCTGTTTTCACTTTTTTTTTCTCATCCCTTACATCCTTTCTACCTCCCTCCTCCCTTGTTTCTCTGGTGTGAGAAACTAAGTGTAGAAATAAAGACTGAGATGTATAATGGATGTTGGGAAGTGGGAAGAAAATGTTCAAATGGGAAGGGGAACAAGGGAGGAGGGAGGTAGAAAGGAGTATTTAAATGTGTGTCCGATTTATTTCACTTAAGAGTATGGTCTCAAGGTCCACCCATTTAGCTATAAATGTCTGAAGCTCATCCTTCTTTATGGCAGAGTAGTAGTACTCCATGGTATAAAAAGCCACATCTTCTTTATCCACTTGTCAGTTAATGGGCATTTGGGCTGTTTCCAAGATTTAGCTATTACAAACTGTGCTGCTATAAACATGGATGTGCATATGTCATTGTGGTAGGATGGTTTTAATTTTTTCAGAAAGATACCACGAAGAGGTATAGCTAGGTCAAATGGATCCTCTAGTTTTAGTGTTTTGAGAAATCTTCACACTGATTTTCACAGTGGTTGCACCAGTCTACACTCCCATCGGCAGTGGAAAAGGGCCCCTTTTCCCCACATCCCCTCCAGCATTTGTTATTGGTCGATTTCTGGGTAGCAGCCATTCTTTCTAGAGTGAGATGGAATCTCAGTGTTGTTTTAATTTGCATCTTTTGAGTGACCAGTGATGTTGAACATTTTTTCATACATTTATTTGTTGTTTTTAACTCTTTACCTGAAAAGTGTCTTTGTATTTGCATTGGGTCTTTAAATTTGGGAGGTCTGATATTTTTGAGTTCTTTATATATTCTAGATAATAGTCCTTTATCTGAATAGCTAGTAAAAAATTTTTGCCCACATTGTGGGTTGTCTCTTCACTCTGTTGGTGGTTTTCTTGCTGTGCAAAAGCTTTTTAATAAGATGAAGTCTCAGTTGTTAATTCTTTGTAGTATTTCTCCTGAGATCTGGGTTTTGTTCATGAAGTCTTTGCCTACTTCTATATCCTCAAGTGTTCTACCTATTCTCTCTTCCAGCAGATTTAGTGTTTCTGTTTTAATACTTAGATCTTTGATCCATTTAAATTTTAGGTTAGTGCATGGTGAAAATTATGGGGCTAGTTTCAATCTTTGGAATGTGGAAAGCCAGTTTTTCCAGCACCATTTATTAAAGAGGCTATCTTTCTTCCAGTAAAGGTGTTTGGCTCCTTTGTCAAAGATAAGGTGGTTGAGTACATCTGGAGTTGTTTCTGCATCCTTCAGTCTGTTCCATTGATCCTCAGGTCTGTTCTTTTGCCAGTACCATGCTGTTTTTATCATGTAGCTTTGTAGTATAATTTTATTTATTTATTTATTTATTTATTTATTTATTTATTTATTTATTTTTTGGTACTGGGGATCGAACTCAGG